GCATCTTTTTCTTCCACACTTTTTCCTTCCACTCAACTTTCTGTTAACATGCTTGGATACAGCACTCTGTGAGCAGCCAGCTTCTTTGGCAATGAATGTTTGTGGCTTACCCTCCTTGTGAAGGGTGTCAATGATTGTCTTCTGGACAACTGTCAGATCAGCAGTCTTCCCCATGATTGTGTAGCCTAGTGAACCAAACTGAGAGACCATTTTGAAGGCTCAGGAAACCTTTGCAGGTGTTTTGAGTTGATTAGCTGATTGGCATGTCACCATATTCTAATTTGTTGAGATAGTGAATTGGTGGGTTTTTGTTAAATGTGAGCCAAAATCATCACAATTAAAAGAACCAAAGACTTAAACTACTTCAGTCTGTGTGCATTGAATTTATTTAATACACGAGTTTCACAATTTGAGTTGAATTACTGAAATAAATGAACTTTTCCCACGACATTCTAATTTATTGAGATGCACCTGTATGTGATAACTATACATTCACCTCTCTGGTTTTATCATTATTTAGCTAGAATCGGCGAATAACGTCACTGAGTGTCATAAAAAGACTGTTTTCGTGTCTCTGATGGAAATTTTAAGGAAGAAAAGCGGGGATTTTTAGAGAAGCTCTTCTGAGAGAAGTAGACAGCAAGCGAGAAACAGACCGCAAGGATTTTACCCTTTTATTCTCTTCAAACAAAAACAGAGAGTGAAAAAGGAAACCCTTAATCTCGAAAAAGCTCGAGTGAATCAGTGATCTGAAATGTCGCTTGTGGTGAGATGAAGGCAGCAGGTCAGTGCATTCATTTATATCGGCTCTGCTCGGTTAAAAGCTCAGGCAGATGATTTATCAGGAGAAATGTAGATGATTTACTGAAGAAAAGCACTGCAGCCACAGACTGATGGAGAGATGATGATGGTGTTTGATTAGAGGATGGAAAACAGCAGAGGACAGAGAGAAAGATGTGACAGCAGAGGTGTGAGTGACTGATGGAGGATGTAGCGGCTCTTTTCTCGTAAACACACTCTGTGTGTGTGTGTGTGTGTGTGTGTGTGTGTGTGTGCGTGTCTGTGTGTGTGAGTGACTGTGTGTATGTTTGTGGGTTTGGGTGTGTGGGTGTGTGTGTGAGTGCGTGTGTGTGTGTGTGCGTGTCTGTGTGTGTGAGTGACTGTGTGTATGTTTGTGGGTTTGGGTGTGTGGGTGTGTGTGTGAGTGCGTGTGTGTGTGTGTGCGTGTCTGTGTGTGTGAGTGACTGTGTGTATGTTTGTGGGTTTGGGTGTGTGGGTGTGTGTGTGAGTGCGTGTGTGTGTGTGTGCGTGTCTGTGTGTGTGAGTGACTGTGTGTATGTTTGTGGGTTTGGGTGTGTGGGTGTGTGTGTGAGTGCGTGTGTGTGTGTGTGCGTGTCTGTGTGTGTGAGTGACTGTGTGTATGTTTGTGGGTTTGGGTGTGTGGGTGTGTGTGTGAGTGCGTGTGTGTGTGTGTGCGTGTCTGTGTGTGTGAGTGACTGTGTGTATGTTTGTGGGTTTGGGTGTGTGGGTGTGTGTGTGAGTGCGTGTGTGTGTGTGTGCGTGTCTGTGTGTGTGAGTGACTGTGTGTATGTTTGTGGGTTTGGGTGTGTGGGTGTGTGTGTGAGTGCGTGTGTGTGTGTGTGCGTGTCTGTGTGTGTGAGTGACTGTGTGTATGTTTGTGGGTTTGGGTGTGTGGGTGTGTGTGTGAGTGCGTGTGTGTGTGTGTGCGTGTCTGTGTGTGTGAGTGACTGTGTGTATGTTTGTGGGTTTGGGTGTGTGGGTGTGTGTGTGAGTGCGTGTGTGTGTGTGTGCGTGTCTGTGTGTGTGAGTGACTGTGTGTATGTTTGTGGGTTTGGGTGTGTGGGTGTGTGTGTGAGTGCGTGTGTGTGTGTGTGCGTGTCTGTGTGTGTGAGTGACTGTGTGTATGTTTGTGGGTTTGGGTGTGTGGGTGTGTGTGTGAGTGCGTGTGTGTGTGTGTGCGTGTCTGTGTGTGTGAGTGACTGTGTGTATGTTTGTGTGTGTGTCTGAGTGTGTGTGTGTGTGTTTGTTGGAGCTGTAGTAAAACCACACGTTTTTTTCCGACCTCAATCTCTAGATTACCAGTATCTATCCTGTTTTACGTTAGGCCTGCTCAACTTGATCAGAAACTCTTTCACTTGTGGTTGATGGAGGTTATTTGGGGTTTGACTTCTTGTCAGATGTTAAACTGGCTTTGTAAAATGGGAATGTGTGCCCATTGGTTTGTCATTAGTTGTCACGAATGTTTTTGAGTTGAACAGAAACTCTTTTACTGGCAGCAGAAACACACGAGCGTTTGGATCAGCTGGACCTGATTAATAAACCAGACTAAACCAGACTAAACTAGTCACTCCTGCAGTGATGGAGGAAGCGAGAATAGCGCAGTATTTTTGCCTAAATCATGTTGGAGGTCATTGTGAAAAGCAGTGAAAGTTTCTCTGGTTTCAGTTTCGCCTGTGAATTTGGGTCTCAATTCAAAGATTGAAATTGGTCCGAAATGACAGAAACCCAAACAAAACTGCATCTACTTTCATAAGATCAATATTAAAATATCTCCTCGATCATGTTGTTTGTATGCAGATGTGTGTTATAAATGGGTGTTTATGTGGACTCTAGTTGAGTTCATTTCTGCACTAACAGTGTTCAACAGAATCACTGAGTTTCTGCCACATCTCCAACAATGTCTGACTTCATGGATTTGCTGAGGCCAGTCAGTTTAATAACTAGCGTTTTATGTGTCCAAAATGCAAATACTATCATACTTTTGCATAACTTGACAAAAAAGTACATCTGGATTGAAATGCCACTAAATAAATGAAAATTTAATTCAAGATTTCACTCAAGTTTCACCTTAAGCTCTTCACTAATGTTCAGGGTAAAAGAAGAAAAACTTGATTAAGTGATTAGTGGCTTTGATGTAATAGATTTAAATGATTCATATTGGTTTTAAGACCTGATCTGGCAAAAACGTACCCAAACAAACGGAGAATGCACTGCTAATTTTCTGCCGGGACGTTATCCATGCATTTTACAGACTTTTCTGTGAACCCTAAAACGCAATGCAATGAAGTTCAAAATTCAAAATACAGGTAAAACACCTGTAAAAAAACAGAAATTGGAAAATCATATCAATGCAGTACATTGTGCCCTATTTTTATGGATACTGAAGGGAGAGCTGCATTATTCCTTGTATTAGAAAGCAGAGATCACACTTAATCACATGGTTGATGCGTCATTTGATGATTATAATCTGATGAAATAACAAGACATTTAGAAATGCACAGTGCTGATAAACCCTGATGATTCAGGCAGTCTTCACCGATTGGTTGAGGAGTATTTTTTTCATTAATGGTCAGAATGGAAAAATGCAAGAATTCGATAATTTCTTATTTTATCTTCTGGATTACTTCACCCACACCCTGAAACAAGCTATATGATGCCATCCAGTCACGTCACCTTTATTTCTGCAGTGCGTTTTGCAATAAAGATTGTGTCAAAGCAGCTTCACGATGATAAATAACAGAACCAATTATGCAAACAGATTGTGTCGTAAGTAAACATGACCGAGGTCTGTGTGAGGTGTTAGGAACTGCTCTATAATAACCCTTACAAATGCAACTCATTATACATATCAACTTTAAAAGTGACAGACATGTAGATGTTTGTAAAAGATGTTTTCTCTGTTTTGGGAGGATGGACATAGACCTTATTTAGCTATTGCACTAAAATTGGTTGATACTTTACTATATTTTAGGGTTGGATAATTTTATTATTCTTTATTATTCATGCAACGATGCTTATTACTATAATAGTTCTCATTAGTAAGCATTTCTATATGATAAAGAATACCGCAGCCTTCTTCATGACCAGTGTCTGCATATTTGGCATATTTCATGCTGTACTGTAGTATTATTATGCTGCTGTTTTTCATAGCATTGATACAGTTTCATACGGATAATATCACAATGATTATTGCATTTCTCTTAGTGAATGCAGTGTCCTGTCAGCAATGACGTGCCTGTGCTCGCTTTGCTTTTTTGTGAATATACTGTCAGTTTAAGTGATGGTGATGCAGCGTTGCCAGGTATTACTGCGGTAACAAACAAAAATAATCCCCCAAATGCAAAATAAACTGAAATAAGTTCAAATCTTTTGTTTTGGAATTAAGATAAAGATATATAAACTGCAACCACATTATTTGGAAAAAACAAGTCCAAAGACGCTTATAATAGCTGGATCTGCCAACACACAGCTGGCTACGACCGAGGCTGTAAAGCAGCTCTGAAAGACAATAATGTTATTATTCAGATCAAGTCAGTTCAGTGCTGATTCATTAGAGTTCAGCTGTAATCAGCTCTACGGAAAATGATCGTTCAGCCTGATTCCATTCATGTATGTATTCTCATCTGATGGCATCAGTGTGCTCAGACAGAGTGTAATGTGGCTGATGAATGATGCAATGCTTCTACTCAGAATGGCTTTACTATGAAAACTGATGCAATCGATGCCAGTTCTGACGTGTGTTGCAGGCTGGCATTAAATCACACTATGCTGGTTTGTTCTGGTCAGAGGAGAACTGGCCCCCAATTTCTCCTAAGGTTTTTTTCTCCATTTCCGTCACCGATAGAGGTTCCTTGCCACTGTTGCCTTTGGCTTGCTTAGTTGGGGGGACAATTTCTGGCAATATTGTCGACTTGATTGCACACACAATCAGGGCCGCTGCTGGCTAAATGGGTGCTCTAAGCAGATATATTATGGGGGAAATATTATGGGGGATATTACCAAATATTATGGGGAAAAAAGTCAAAACAGAACTTTAATAAAGCATAAAAGTAAATAAATTGTAATTAAATTGTATTATTTACTAATTACAATTGTAGCTCTAGACAGTTACCTATGGCTATGATTTTATTAATACAGTTGTCTGATTGGTTGCCTTTGGCTTGCTTAGTTGGGGGGACAATTTCTGGCAATATTGTCGACTTGATTGCACACACAATCAGGGCCGCTGCTGGCTAAATGGGTGCTCTAAGCAGATATATTATGGGGGAAATATTATGGGGGATATTACCAAATATTATGGGGAAAAAAGTCAAAACAGAACTTTAATAAAGCATAAAAGTAAATAAATTGTAATTAAATTGTATTATTTACTAATTACAATTGTAGCTCTACATCAAAAAACAAAACAAAAAACAAACTAAAATTACACACATTAAATAAAAAATTTTAAATGAATAAATATCAAAATAAACAATAATAAATTGAATCAAAAATCAGCGGCAGCGGCTATGTGCACTAAGTGAAAATAACATATTTTCTTAGCAATAGATGCTATTTACACTAAGTATAAATAGCAGTATTTTCTTAGCCGTATGCTTTACACCAAGTGCAAATAGTTATAGATTCCATTTACACTATGATAAAATACCAGGATTTTCTGCAATTTATACTACTTATTGCAAATAGTGGCAATTATCTGCACTTCACTATTGTGGTCAATTATAAAACAGTATGCAATAATAAAGTATTGAGTGTAAATGATCATTTTAATTCAAATTAATAAATGGGTGCCACTTTATTGGGACAATAAAGCCCTCCCTACACCTACCCGATGCTTTATTTTCAACATTTCGAGTATTTCCTTCATTTTTATTGAAAATAAATGCCTTTCCGATGCGCTATGAGATTTGAATTTGGGAGAAAAAAAGTTCGGCAAAAGCCGGATTCGAACTCGGGTCGATCGCGTCAAAACAACTACGGCACACGCCTACGTGGTACTGCAGACTGAATCAACAACGAACTGACTGTTTTCTATTGTCCTCTTGCATTATCAGCACACTGTTTGACACTGTAAAGCTGCTTTGACACATCAGTACTGCATAAAGCGCTGTAGAAATAAAGGTGACTTGATTGAAATGTTTGAAGAAGGCTGAGACCGCATGTGTGCTTGTGACGTCTGACTGAATTCTGGTGAGTGATAAATATGTGTCAAACTTTCCTTATGAGCGCTAGTCAGTGTTTGAAGTGAACGGACACGTTAGTTGTACTTCCATATTAGATTCAGTCACTGGAAGGAGAGCAGTTATCGAGGTAAGGGTAAACCGTATCGGACCTGCTGCACACAGAGAGTCAGAGATCATGCAAGGATTCAGATTGCAGCAGTGATGCTGGGAGAGATGGGAACCGTTCTGGTGTAGCTGATGGGATCAGATGAGCAGATGATGGTGAAGAGCGGGTATTAGATCAGTGTTTTAGGGCTGCTCAGCAGCTGATCACTGAGTTCAGCAGCTGTTTGTATCTCCTGTGCTTCTGTCTATCGAAATCTCAGGATAGCAGCATATACGTACATGAGAAGAGGCCATCTACATTTATTCCTGTAATGTTGAACCGATAATGCTGTCGGCTTCACAGAAACATTCTGCGCTTAAACACAGGAAACAAACGAGAGGTTTTCTGAATAATGGATCAACTTATCTGGAAATCACATCAACTGATATCAGCATTAACTGACACGGACTAATCATTCAGCTACTGATGGAGTTTTGTTTTCTGAAAGAGTGAAATGAGAACATCTCACCTGTTTCTGCTCAGTCTCACACTGACGAGAAAGAAAAACAGGTGCAGCCTCTCAGATGTGCGGTAAACCTTCAGCAACAAGAACACAGAGATCGAGAAAACAGAACAAGAGAAAGATAGATGACAGACAGATAGATAGATAGATAGATACAGTCAAAACTAAATTTATTCAGACACCTTCCACACGTTATCACAGTTTATTCGCTATAGTTTAGAAAATGGTAATACTATATGACAAGAACGCAGAGTTGAATGATTTTTGGTTCCACATTTTTATCAGTTTTACTGGTAGTCCACAGTATTAGCAAGTTTTTGGTATAATATGTCACAGTTTTTAATGTATTTTGCTCTCCTCGCTTACATAAATGAACTGTAGTGTCCAGCACCCACTAGTAAAAAAATATAAAAAAATTATATCTGGTGTCTGAATAATTTTTGGTTTGACTGTAGATAGATAGATAGATATTTACTAGAGCCGTAAATGGGTTTCAGGAGCATAACCACAAACTGTGGTCACTTCTCTCATTTAAAGCTTCTCGGAAATGTGAGGCCCTGAAAACACACACACACACACATACACATACACATATACACACACACACACACACACACACACACACACCAGCAGTTGGTCTATCAACACGTGTGTTAGTGTGAGTTAGTGTGTTGTAATAAACAGGAGAGTGAGGGAGAACAGCAGTATCCTCCTACACGCTTCTCGTTTCCTGCCCTGATAAATGTCACCACAACAGCCCAGCGCTGGCCTAATCCATGACCTGTTTCTCTACCTGTGTGTGTGTGTGACAGGAAGGGCTGCGCTCTTTTAACCCTGCAGTGTGTGTGATCTCGCTCACAGATGGGAACATGAGCAAGTGACATCGCGACGCTCAGCGCTGGGACGTCTCCGCTCCACACGTATGTAACACGCTTTTATTCACTCTGAGTCTCTACACACACCTGTCAGCGCAAAGCTTCTGCTTGAACACTTGAGTTTTTAGACAAAAATCAAGTATGTATGAACTCTCTATACAGAACTCTATTTTGATGGAGAGGATGATTTGAAATGAATGAACATCTGATGTAATGAGGCAGCATCATCATCATCATCATCACATGTTTCCCTTCAATGGTGATTAAAGCTCAAATATAATATGATAAAATATTCTCAGGCCATTTGTGTCATTTCCAAGTTTTGAAAATTTTTCTGAAATATGAGTGTGTTGATTTAATAGTTAACCCTAACCCTAAACAAAAACTGAAGTGCTGATACTTTTCTTTCTTGCTTTTCTCCATTTTATTGATGATTATTATTTACAGTTCATTCAAGCAGGAAGAAAAGAAAATCAAAGACTTTCAATCAAAGATATTTCAGAGCACACATTGTTAATTATAGCGTGTCCCATCGAGTCTGTCACGCGCTCATTCAGAAGCGTGTTCGGTCATGTGGTTAACGGCCGTGTAGCGGTACTATCGTGCTCCGAATCACACATTAGAAGCTCTGTGTCTCATATCTCTGAGTCTGTGGGTGATGATCTGTGTATTTGCTCTTTCTGTCTGTGGCTTTGGGTTTTTCCACCTGTCGAGTGTGTGAGCGTTGGGGGAAGGAAAATGAATGCGAAGCTTTATTTGTCATGTTCTGTGCTTTTTACAAGGAAATAAGCAACAATTACACATGTGATAAATGTAGGTCTCTCTGTCTCCCACAGATTTCCAAATGCATGCTGGGACGAAAACGCCATCATGCAGACTCTGGCTATTATGATGATGATGATGATGATGATGATGATGCCATCATATTCAGCTCTTGCAGATCAAAGTAAGAACTCCTGATGGGCTTTGTGTTTGTGTTGTGATCTGTATGTGTGTGTTTACTAAGTTTGTCTATTTGTCTTGTTAGCAGTTAAATCTGACAAAACCAGCTATACAGCCGTACAGGGTAAAAAGTAACGGTCCTACTACTGAGCCTTGCGGTACTCCATACTGAACTTGTGATCAATAAGATACTTTTCATTTAGTTCTACAAATAACAGTCAGATACATTTGATTTGTTAAGATTGATCTCTTTTAATAGATTGGTAGGTATAGGATCTAACACAAGTGAAACACAAACACACACACACTGTAAATGTGTGTGCTTTTAACTTAAAGGTTTTAAGTGCTATAATCAGGTCCCCGGTGCATCTACCAACCAAGGAAATGTGAAAAAGTTTAACCCAGTAACTTTGTTCATATTGTAAAAAGGGGCATAATATGTCTCCTTTAAAAACAATGGTTCTTAATTGGCATTGATGGCTCTATGAAAAACCTTTAACATCCAAAAAGATTTCCATTGCAAAAAAAGGGTCTCTAAAATGGAAAAAAAGGTTCTTTAGATTAATAAAATAAACATGGTTCTTTTATGATCTCTTTTCTGTACGGTTGTTTGGGGACCTAAAAATGGTTATTCTGTGGTATCACTGTGAAAACTTTCCAATCTTTATTTTTAGGTTGAATTGCTGAAATGTTGTTCTTTCTCTAGGTTTAAAGTGTCAAAATGATTTCCACAACACCTTCACATGTGTTTGGGACACCTCAGAACTGGACGTAATCCCTCCGGTCCGACCCGAGACCAAATGCTGGATTAATGTATCAGTTGAGAAGATGTAAGGAAGAATGTGACTTCATAATGTATTTAGCTTGTGATTAAACAATCAGCCTTTATATTGTACAGAATCCAGAACTCATGAACGTGGAACAGTTTTCTGTTGCTTCTTTAGTGTCTAAAGAGTTTTATGTTCCTTTCTCTTAATTCTACTGATTGATTTGTTGGTTAGCTTGTGAGGTAAAAGTAGAAAAATAAAATCTAAAGTGTATGCGCTTCATTTTTATATGTGAATGATTTATTCATTTTCTATGATTTCAGATGGCAGGATACAAAGAAGGTGGATTTGATCGCAGACCCGATGCAGCCGCACATACGCTCTGCCACCGTGGTCTTTGAAAGCAAGGTGACTGATCCCACTTGTTTGAGTTCATTTGACATCTTGTTGATCATCCAGCATTGAGTTGAAACCCGAAACAAACTTGTGACGCGCCATACAGATGCATTATTTCTTTCTTTTCTGCTGCAGAGAGGTAAAATGTCATTAACGGCAGAATTACATGAAGAAGTCCGGTGTGAAAACTACACAAATCCTGTGGCTGAAATAGCAAAACATATGGGAAGCGATAGTGGTGAGTCAAATATAATAACTCACACGGACACGTTCTGGAACCGAAGCTGGAGAGTGTGTCAATCACTAATGTTTACATGTGTGAAGCAGGAGTTCATTAGTGAGCGAGAGACACTTTGTCATGGCTTCTGTTCCTCACAAACCTGTTCTGGCTCCAGTCTGAGCTATTGCTCAGCTGATAACTGTTTGCTTGAGCGATCATGTTGTGTTTCTGTGTGCAGACGTGAAAGTGGCTCCTGCTCAGACATTGGAAGTTCATGGGATGAATGTTTCTTGGAGTTTCGATTCTTTAAAAACCTACTTGCAGCCTGAGTTTGGGGTCCAGTACAGATCTGCTGCTCAGAGCTGGAAGGTGAGCATATCAACCTCTCTTATGTCCACCGTTTTTATTTTTTCCACAACAAAAACTTCACTTTTGACAGTTGCTTGTACATGATTTCTGAAATTGTGGCTTCTTTTTTCTAAACTTTACACACACACACACACACACACACACACAAAAAACAATATGCAAAGCATCACACATCTCTTGCATCACAACTCATACAACCAACAGATGATTAGCTTATTCACACTCCAGTTACACACGGATGTCAAACACGAGAATCTTGTGCATGTTCAGTGTGCTCACAAATACTGTGTACAGCATATTCAGCAATAAATACAAAGGGTGGAAATCATTTCTTTCTTTCTCAAAATGAAGGAAAGAGCTGTAAGTGTTTTCTGATGTGAGCTGTAAGTAGAGGGAATCAGTAAATGAATGTCAGTGTTTTCCAGAACTCATGAGCTGTCAGTGTTGAGTGTCTGTGGAGAAAAGTGTTCAGTGTGTTGCAAACATTTTGTTATACAGTTGCAAGCTGATAATGTGCTTGCAGTTTTGCTGACTTGGTTTGAGGAGATGTGTTACTAGGAGTGTGTCTCGAGTACTTTAGTGTGTAAGCGACTGTAAAACAAACTGTAATGGTTAAAGACAGGATGTTTAGATGATGTGCATCTGAAGGCAGATTCAGAGCCGTCTCACTGTGACTCTGTCAGCGTTCATCACAGCAGAAATGCTTCATTCTGTCAATGTCTGTTTAGGATGTGGAGGACCTTATCGGAACAACTACAGAAACTCATTTGAAGCTGCAAGAGGACCGTTTGATCTTAAATCAGCAGTACGTGGTCAGGGTGAGAGTCAAGTATCAAGAGAGTAAACTGCCCAATGCTGAGTGGAGCGACTGGAGTAAAGAGTACAGCTGGACATCTGCGGTGGGTCAGACGCCCCACACACCAGGTAACACACACACGCACACGCACACACACGCACAC